AAATACGATTTCATTTATATCGATATAATTATATGTTTATTTTTAGATATTGATATAGCTATATTGGTATGATAAACTATCTTGCCTTATTTATAGTCGATAAGTCTTCTAGCAAAAACGGATAAATCATGAAACAACTAAATAAAATTAGAAATATGTGTAAAGATAAATACTTATAGCACTTTATATGCTGATAAGAAAATAAAATATAAGACAATTTACACCATATAATATACTCTTCAAAAAAAAGAAACGCATAGTAGAATGTTAGTGACACATTGAACATAAAGATTGTTTAGTAAAATGATGCATTGATAAAGTAGAAAGGTGGTAAGCAACAGGAATTCTATCTAAATGTCATAATTACTCAACAATTTTAAAATTATAGTCAGTTTAAGACCATGAGAGATCAATATCTGGTATGCCCCCGCAGACACAAATGATAGCCACAAACGTCATCTAATGGAGGCAAATGTGTGTAAAATAAACTGTATAGGAATACTCCCCCACTCCAAATGTAGAACTTTTAGTCTGCTGTTGCAAAGTCTGGGGATGCGATTGTCTTTGGCAAATTATGTCAATCCATTTTGTCCAATGCTGCTTAATTTGGATTAAATCTAGCGATTTAGATGACTGTGGCTGAAACAGGTTGTTGTTTCTTTGCAAGAATAGGTGTGTCAAACGAGCCATATGTGGCAATGTATTGGGAGATTGCAATACGGCTCTAGGATGCTGCAAAATTGAGAGGTATGTGTAGGTAGAACATGGTTAGAGTACCTTTTTCCATCAAAGTCCATTGAATTCGAACCAAATCGATCCTACTTTCTTATAATACCGTTTTCCATATAATTACACTACCACCACCAACTTTTTTAACGTCCTGGAGGCAGTTATCTGTCTAACATTCATTACAAAGCATTAGCACTCTTAAACTAATAAGAGGATTTCAGATAAACATTTTGGACTTTTGGTCTAGTAGGTTAACCAAAATATTCAGCAGTGATGCTGTGGTCATACTCTATTGATCTGAGATCTTTGAAGTCGGTATTTGGGGTGTTGTGGGGTCGGACCAATGGCATGAATAATCTTCTTGCAATAAATCGTAGTCAACTGAAAACGGTCTTGTTAGATGATCTGCACAGTTCATGGATAGATAATGCTTTAGATGACGTCCTTGCATTACTTTCATGCAATTTACGTAATCCTCTGAAGCAATGCTGTGCTGCTGATGGCACACGTAGTCTGCCATATTTTTTTGCGAACATTGGGTGTTCGATGTTAATCGTTTATGTTTTATAGGTCAGATATGGTCTGTGTGTAACATTAAAACCTCTTGCAATTTTAGATTGCGGTACCCCTGCTTCCAGTCGCCCATTTTCCTTTTTGTGCTATGCAACATTCAGATGCAGCATTTTTAGGAAGAGTCATTTTTCAGATAAAACCAGATTCAAAATATCGAGAACCCCCGCTTTTGATAACCCCTTTGTAACTGAAGGAATTGCATCGGAATTCAACAAATGAAAATTGAGATCAAAATTTTGGTGGAAATTTTGCATAATCCGGTCTTTTTGTCTGTGAGTCTTGTAGAATAGCGGCAACGTTAACAATTGCGTTAACAAATCATGCATTTCACTCAAATACATCGTATCCATAAAAAATAAAAGGTATGACAAAATTATCATACATTTTTCAGGGCATTGTTCTTACTATGCGTTTCTTTCTTTTTTTCTTTTGAAGAGTATAGAACAAATGTAGAGACCTTTACGCTTCCCTATGTGTGTGTTTGTGTCTATTGATTGTTTGGGTTAAGACGGGAAGCGTTATTAAACATCTTATTTTTTAACATATTAAACTGGTTTTGAACATTTTCTGAGCTCCCTAAAATATATAGAGTCGATATATAAACCAAACTAATACAACATATATGTAAGATGTAAATTTTCTTTTGTGTAATATCTTTTTCGCAATAATAACCATCTCTCTTCTATAAGATAGGCCACATTGGTTTTAAAGTAATTGAATGTTCTTTGGGGGATACAATGTAGCATTTCTCACATTTGCGTTTTAAGAACTTGATATAAACTTGTACATGTAGGAACATTTTGCTTTTCTTTATGCTTTTTTTCCATTAACAGCATTATGCCATAGCATTTCTGCACTTACCGTCATAGTATGGAAATATGAAGACATATATCACCATCAGGAAAACAACTGCAAGTAATCCAAGCAATGTTAGACCTACAATGTAAAAATATTTCTAAATAACATCTGTTTTTAAAAGCATGAATGATCGATATTTGTCGGTTTTCCCCTTTGATAATATACATGTACAGTTGGTGCTTCGACTTAGATTCAACATACAATCTTCCGGTATTAAAGAAGCGTTATCATTGTGACATTCGTATTTTATTCCAATTTAAATGCCGACTTTTTGCTGCATTCTTAGTTGTTCAACCTTTGGTTTAAAATTACTGAGCTATTTAAAGAAATAATGCTGAATACCGTTATAACCACTGGTGCCCCCAACCGCACAGTGTGGTTAGCTATAAGCATTTCTTAAGGATAACTTCATTCCGGTTACATCACACGGTAAGTTACGGTAAGTTACTTAGTGTATTTCAAAACTTTTATTGCATTTAACGTCAAATCAGTTACGTTTTATTTATCTGCGAAATAGGTAGGTTGTTTTCACTTGTTTTCACTTTTTTCACGAGACGGATGACTACACACAGCTCAATTATACAATCGAGGTAACGGAAGTGGTGGGAAGCGATGAGAGAAAATAACTGATACATAGATCTTGCAGCCATAATGTTTACATTAAGTAAGATCGAGTAACCTTTTAAAGTTTAAGACCCAAGTTAAATCTGGAATTTCCCATGGATCCCGAAGACTAAAAAATGATGGGATTGCATGGATACCAGTGATTCAGTTGTTTGTCAAGGGTGTGTGTCCCTATACCAAACCAGATTATACAGAATAACTTGTTTCCCTTTTTAGAAACCAACCAATGAGAGGCTAGAATACAAAGAAAATTAAATCATTAGAAATAACAAATTTTCTGCATAATAAACAATTTTGAGAGAACCCAACTGATTTTATCAAAACCATCAAGCACAAATTACACATGTATTACTGATCCTAAAATGAAGCCCAGTCCGAGAATTTAGGAATTTGAGGAGATTCCCCAACTCCAAGTCTATACATTCTGAATAAAGGTAGACAAATATTACAGAGATTCAAGTAACGCTTAGTCCTACTTAAGCAAATTATCTTTGTGATCAAATTCATCTCTAAATACGGTATATAACGTTATACAATTGTCAAGGTGTGGAATGGACCTGTCCTGAAAAGAGGTTCATGGGCTGCAATGGTTTTCATAGTAAATATAGCTAATACAGTCCTGTCCTTTGTCATAGGCAGATGTTTTTCCTTAATCTTCCGATACATGGCTTTGAACGCTCATTGCAAGTCCTCACTACCCGTAGGGGTACTGATTTGAAGATATTTGAATTTATACTAAGGATATATATTTAAAAAAAACAAATATGACAAATCCTGGATTTGCCTTTCACGAGAGGGTTCTTTGGGGCCAAATTTTCATATTGAATATTGTTATTTCTTGTTGAATGAAAATGTGTAGCAGGCTTTATTAAACCTTTTAGGTACAGGGTATTAAACCTATTCAATTATGAATTTTAAATTCAAATTTAAAACAAGCAAATTCAAAGGACTGTGTGTCCTCTGCTTTTGATTTCTCATAGAATGCAATTGTGTATCATTAATTGCATATTGTGTCAAAGGTAAAGTTTTTTCATTTAAAAGGTGTCACCAGAGGTTTTTTTTTTCAGAATAACGGGTCAAACATCACAGCATGCTTGGAAATATTTTATTACATGTAATGCATAAATGAAATATGAAAATTCGATCTATTCTCAATCAAAACTTATCAGTAAAGATAACTGTTATCAAAGTAGGTATTTCAAGGTAAAAGTCACAAGAACAAAGATAAAATATACATAAATATGTATATATTAGGAAAGTATGCATAAATAATCATATATGATATAAAAGCCGTGTATTTTCTCTTTCAACGGTTAATACTAAATTAAACTTTTGTTAAGATCTTTAAAAATACTTAGTAAGGAACTTCCGAGATACGTCGTTACTGTCGTCTTTGGTTCAGTAATTCGAATCTATGTTATGTGATAACGCACCAATTGTTAGGTATCACAGAAAGAGAAAGTTGACAGACGTGCGCTAATGCGGTTTGAATGGCAAAAGAACGGGCGCAGACAAAGAAATCAGAGGACGAACGAGTTCTTGTTGGTGCTCTGTACCTGACTGCACTGCCGATGATCGGAAGAAATCTAACTTAGATCTAACTTAGGTCTTCAAACTGAAGGACAAGGGGTCAAAATCAAAGTGTATTTGGAAAGAACATGTCACAGGTAATGAATATTGAAATATGAACCTCTATCCCTTCTCATCCAAACGTTATGTCTGGGTGGGTGGGTGGGTGGGTGTGTGTGTGTGTGTGTGTGTGTGTGTGTGTGTGTGTGTGTGTGTGTGTGTGTGTGTGTGTGTGTGTGTGTGTGTGGGGTGGGTGTGGGGGTGGGTGGGTGGGTGTGTGTGTGTGGGTGAGGGTGTGTGTGTGTGTGTGTGTGTGTGTGTGTGTGTGTGTGTGTGTGTGTGTGTGTGTGTGTGTGTGAGGGTGTGTGTGTGTGTGTGTGCGTGTGTGGCTCCCCCATACTGGGGACCTGCTACAGATACGCAAGTCGTAAAATGGGGACATAAAAAACATTGGGGACTTGATTTAAGTCCCCAATCTTTTTTATCGTTGAAAACGAAAAATTGACATGTCTAAACCCTAAAAATATCAAAAAAATAATGTGTCCCAGTTACGGGGTTTTATCGGACACATGATTACACAGATATCGTGTTGATTGAAATCGCCATCTTCACTTACACATCTCTGACGTTACACACTTCTAGATTACGCATGCGCGTGTGTAAAAAAAGCGGAAGTCCAATTGTTTGAAGCGGGATACAATAAACATGTGGAAAAGAAGACACAGAGGAAAGCCTGGGCACAGAATCCTAGATTCTTTTGATAAGGATGATTTTTATGCTGGAAAACGGTATGTTATCTACTTCTTGGATAAAATATATGGTTCGAGGAAACTTGCATCAAAGTATTGAAGGGGGGGGGGGGGGGGCAGTGACGATTGCTGCATAGGCCTATCGGGTACCCAGTTGAAATGAAAAGACAGTTATTTATGCGATTTTCTTTCTTGAAATAGTACACAATTTATGCTATTCATTTCACAATGATTTAAAATTCATCAAATGAAAGGTATATTAATCGAATGTGTTTTGTATTTCATGTCAACATGAAATGACCTTTACTAAGTTTTAACTGAACTAAATCCAGTCCACTTTAATTAGAGAAAATGGAAATGTAGTTTGTATGTGTGAGTTTTTTTGAGCCAATTGTGGGATCGGGTTGTACCACCCCACCCCACCCCCCCCCCCCCCTTCTTCTTGAGATCTGCAACTTATTGTTTTTAAAGCAAAACCTAAGATTGGGTTGTACCAAACACCTCAACAACCCACCCCCTTTTTCTTGAGCTCAGCAACCTATTTCTGGTGTTGTTTTCTTTTCATTTTTTAAAGCAAAAAGTGAGATCGGATTGTACCCCCCCCCCTCCCTTTTACTTGAGAGAGAACATATACAGTGTAGTTATCAATTCAACATATATATTTTACTTGTCCTATAATATATAGACATTACTTAATACAATAATAGCCTATCTCAATTTTACTCATAATGCACTTATTATCTACTGCTAAAGAGCAAATAATTGAATATTAAGTGTATATTGTTTTCATGTTGTTTATATTAAAGAAACTTGGGCTGAAGCATCTTTTAATTTAAAAAGCTACCACATTAAATTACTTATATGACAGTACAATTCATTAAGTGACAATTATATTTTCCACATTTTTCTTAATTATTATCATTTTACAGCATTCTTTTAAATAAAATCACATTTGATCTCTCTAAGGGCCTGTACAGGTTATGGGCATTGGAATAAAAATGCTCAGAAAGGAAATATGGATAAAAATGTACGTCTTGAAAAAATTTTATTAGTGAATTTTTTTTTCATATAATTATTATCCTTAAACATGTTAAAAGATATAGAATTAAACTAGAATATAAAAATCATGCAAACTTGTGTTTATTAGATTTTTTTAATCAGGTCATTATATCCTAATTGGCTAAAGCAGGACATTATACCCCTGGCCCTGTCGTTTTTATTATGTCCAATAAAAATTTTATATATTTTATTTTGCATTTTGGCACGATTCTCATAGAAGATAACAATATTTATTATTTCCAATAAAAATGATATTGTGTATGCACCAAAATTGACAAAAAACTATTTATTATAATCAGTCAGGACATTGTACTATAAGGGCATTATACACTTCCGGTGTAAACAGCTTACTCAGGAACTGAGGAAGCAGGTAAGGCATGGTTTGGACTGAAAAAAAACCCACGTCCTTGTTTGATTCCTTGAAACGATTGTGGAATTATGTTCTGGAGACTTGAAGTCTGTACAAAGACACACTACTTCAAAGTAGTTTCATGTCGACCGCTTTATACCTGTTAGACAGAATCATGGATAAGCCTTTCCGAATTCCCTCTGTTTAATTCTCCTTTCACTGTTAGTGTGTTTGTTTATATACAAACAGCTTTGAAATTGAATTTTTAAGAGATCATTATAATTTTATATCATATGATATGATATCTTTTTTAAAGCAGGGTGCAATGTATTCAATTTTTGTATCCTTTCTATCAGAAAAGTCATAGGCTATAATAAGAATCATTTGACTTGTTTAATGTATTGTGGTAGTTTATTTATGTATTCTTAAATTATTTCATTTCAATCCAGATGTAAATTATCTTGCTTATATTTGGAAACACCCATTTTTATGCGACCATCAGATCGGGGAGGAAGACGACTGGCTTAATTCTCTATAGCTACACTCTTCACATACTAGAATCATCTTTTTCAACTTGTCCATCTGTTTATATTCAATATTGCTTTTATAGTTTATATTTTGGTTAGACTAATCACTATATTTTGGTAGGGGGTAAATTATGTACATTGTACGTACATTATAGCAGTTTTCTGTAAGACTTGTAATAAATTTGTAAAGTTGGAATACCAATATTGACCTCATATAGAACAACACCTACATGTAGTATCGCGAGTACCTCACAGATATAAATTCTTACTACCGCTCTTTTGCAAGGGAGTAGAGAAGGCTCTAAATCTCACAATTTAGATTTCTGGGGTATATCAATGCTTACACTAGTGACAATCAATAAATATAATTATGATTCAAACAATCATGCCGAAAGTACAGTGAATTGCCAAGGATTGAACTCTAAATAGTACAAATGTAGCTAGATTATCAAATAAGGAAAGTTAAAGTATTTATGAAGTAATGATGTTCAATGAGAATTTAATGAGAAAAGTCCGCTCTAAAGAGAAAAGTAATTGTTAAAAATGTAACATATGAGGATAAGCTCCTCTCTCAGATTTATTAGGCTGGTTCAGCATATGTTTAGCAAGATATTTCACTAGGATTTCTTTCTTACTGTCTGCAGGATTATTTTTGCACCATTTAATTTTTGCCCTTTCACACTTGCAAACAATTTTGCCCATTCATAGTTTTATTACAGAAATTATATGTATTGTTTCATTTTGCCCTGTTTTAAATTTGCCCAAAAGGGGCGAAAATAAAATGGGAGCGAAAATTTTCCTGTATACAGTATTTGTCCTTGTAAATTTCATATTTTGATCTGATGATTCCCACCTGTCAACGAGACGTGATACAGCTCTTCAGATCAAGTTACTGTTATAATGACATGTTTATTATATACCCCGTTACAACTAGTAAATAAATGTATATTTAAGAAATATGCAAGAGAAGAATTATGTCAATTATGTAACATTAATCCATTACATGGAAGTTTTTGATATGCAAGAACAATAACGTTATGTTTCTGCATACTAAGTCTTCAGTTGCCGAGAGTAGTGGAATGGATTCAGAAAACCACAGTGTGGTGATCTGCAAAGTTTGAATGTCACCTGATTGCGTAAAATCAACATTAAAATTAGGCTTGAGTATCACAAGCTTCCTAACGATACGATACATAACATGATATGGTCATGTGATACAACACGTATTGTGATACACTAGGTGTCATTAACAGTTAAATTAACTGATATGCTTATATTCTTGCTCACTAACCCCCAGTTATAGAAAATATAAAAAATATCTTACCTAACCAAAGTTATTTATAGGCCAACTTATAGTCTTAACATTGTATTTTTTTATACTACCTCGTTTTCAGTCATTTTTGTAGCTTTAAAAGTTCTCAGTTTGCATTAAAAGTTCTCAGTTTGCATGTAAAATTTTTTAATAAGACAATGAAAATTAACTTGTACTGTATCACGATACATACATGACGATACGATATACATATCGTGAGGCCTTGCGATCAATACAATCGATGTATCGCTGTATTGTTACACCTCTAATTAAAACTGAATGTTACACTGTTGGGTATATCTATAATGCAACCTACATTAAGTACATACAACAACACATGATATCAGAGTCTAGACACACCTAATGTCACATGACATTTGACAAGCCCATCTTATTAAAAAAATAAATCAGTATCTGAGCTCATCCTAATGGTTGCATCGTCAACATATTACGAATTAATAGGATGATTTTCTCCTATAGTTTGGACTTTCAGTAGCATATGGCATTCTCGGCGCTGCGTAATGGTGAATACTAGTAGATTCTTATTGGTTAAGAAATTATAACATCAAGAACTTAAAATTATTGTTGACAACGATGAGGCGACTTATGCCTCACCTCTGTGCCGTGTGAGAACATTTGATTGGCAATTTACTACGCCAGTTGACATTTGGCCGCATTTCTATCATATGTATATTTCAACAGTGAAGGGAAGCAGTGTAAATTTCAGAAGCAAATTAGGTAACATCGAGAATGCCACACCTTACTGAAAGTCCAAACTAATCGTATAATGGTCCTATTTCTCAGGTATTTTGATTGTATGATATCCAACATTTTAGAAATCACAAAATTCTATACTAATATTAACATTACATTTGGCGTGCATTCTTTTTAGCACTTTGGGGGGAAAGAAACTTCCGCTAAGTCAAGTACAGTATGCTGAATGTCTTGCACATATGTTCATAATTAAGAACTTTATGAAATGCACTAAATCAAATCTATACGCTAACTTGCTCAAAAGTCAAATATTATATTTTTATTACACACTTAGTGATAAATACAGGTTTTTTGCATATTGCAATATGGCTGCATGATGTCACAATAGCTGTATCAGCCCTGCAGGGCTGATATGGATTTGCGGGGCTGATAACCTATATCAGCCCTGCATATCCATATCAGACCTGCAGGGCTGATACGGCTATTGTGACATTAATATCACACCCTTAATAAATTTAATTAAACCACAAAAACAGTACTTGTGATCATACACAATTTTTGGTGGGTTCATATTCTTGTAATTTTAACTTTCTGAAAATAAAGATTCTTTAATCTTAATTTACAAATACATGTAATAGATTATTTTCAAATTACAGATTGAGTGCATTGAAATAGAAGTAGAAACTAACCCAAATCGTATGAGACAATAAACCATGTACATATAGTATGTTAGTTTACTGAGGCCGAAGGCGATTCAAAAGTCAGCCAATTTATTCATTGTTATTAAATGTTATTGAATTTCCAAATGTTTGACACGTTTGTTCTTGTCTCCAACAAATGTATACACTCGTGATTTAAAGCATAGGGTAATAACACATTATGATAAGTGTTGGCAAATCGGACGATTTTTATTAAGCGGTTACTCGTTTCATCTTCCGATCGAGTACCCGGTTACTCGGATGATTTTTGGTAAAAGCATCAATATCTATTATTTATCTTTTTCTATACTTATCGGTATAGTAATCTGCAAATATACTGTATATGGACATAATATTTACAACACATATGATATCATCAAAGATTTACTGTTTTAAAATAAAGAAAATAAGGAAGTCGACACACGGAGAAGACAAATAAATATGTCATTGTCAATCACCATTTTACACTTTCCTTTTCAGCCCCCGAAATATGTCGCAATCAAGGAGAATAATTATTTACATACTCCATAATTAATAGTCAGTATGTGGAGTTTCCAGTAAATCGCTGGTTTCCGAATATTTTAAGATTAGGTGATTTAACAGATTTTGAATCAGCTGTTCTTCTGGTAAACTCCAAGCTTATTATGTCTGCGACGGCATCTTGTTAAATTATCAAATGAGGTAATTATAACTCAGGTCTTCAAAAGATATATACCCCAGGCGATCAAAGCTATCAATTATATAAACTGTGAAAACTAATCAAAACAGTTTGATCCACTACAACCATGCACTAGATCAAGTCTAATGGTATCTAAAATTAGGGAAATGTGTAATTTAGTATACCGGTACATTTATAAATTATTAAACATTTATTTCTATGCCTTTACTATGGAGAATTCATTTTATCCAAGCAACCGAATAGCAGTTTTACTAACCGATACTCACATCGTTCGACAGTTAACCAGTTAACTGGGTACTCGTTGCCAACACTTAGATTTATGATTGTAATTTATCAGCTACTATCATATTTTAAAAGTGGAAAAAATATTATTAAACAATAGATACTCAACTATTTACTAAGAAAGTAGTTTAGTGCATTGGTATCTAGCATGGTAACATTTGCAATGACACATGTTTTAAAACGCCCAATTTGATTGGTCAAAAAATGTTAGCAAATCTATGGTTGGTCAACATGGTCAAGAGGGAAAACCCAAAAACCTCCTAGAACTTTAATTTGAAGTGAACTCACTCTGAGGTACACCCCAAAAATGCCCAAGGAAAAGGTGTCTAGTCCAACCAGAGAGCACCCTAATCCCTGATCATTTAATTTCTATGCTTCTTGTATAGGAATGGGAACTCAATAGTATTACAAACTTTTACTTTGAGAATAAAATTGATAAATTTCTGTATAAAAATGCTTTTACAACATGTATTTAAGATTTGTTCCTACTTTTAAAAAAATTCCAATACATTCTGAATTTAATTTATAATTTTTTTTGTTAGAATGTTCAAGGCAACCAGAAGCTTGAGTCCATCCTGAACATAGAGACAACACAGATATTAGCCAAGCTAGATATTGCTAGAGGATTAGTCAATGCAATTCAGCAAGGACTAGTGATGGATATGTTCCAGGTTCCACAGCTAGGAGAATGTCAGGAAGAAAAGCCTCATCATTAAAAGTGTTACAGGTGAATTATTTAGGAATTTAAAAAAATAAATAGGATAGATAAAGATTCACCAGGGAATGAATTTTTTGTTGGTTCATGATCACATCTATTGAGAAGCCAAAGGCAAAAGTATTGCATGCAGTAAATATTGTTTGGATGTAATCACACTTATATCATTGTATATAAATAACCTTTATCCGTATTGATAAATATTTTGAATTTATTTCAGATAATATAAATCTAAATTCATTACTTTGTCAAATTATATTTTCGTTTCCAATGTCTTTGTTCAAGAGACAATTACAAATAGTCAAATGAATGCACTTTATTTCTCCATCAATATACTGGTTCATTGATAGGCGCTGCTAAAAAAAAATCACGTGCAGGGCGGAACAAATATAGAGACAAGAAGCAGGGCTTGTAGCATGTTTATTGGCGGAATCAATTCTTTGTAAATATAAAAAGAATAACTGTCATTTTCAATTTCATGACAATGATCAATCTATCTGCTTGCATGATAACTTTATGCATAAATGCCTTCTGCATTTATGCAAATTATCACGCCAACCAATTGATTGATCACATCATGAAATCGAAAAATAAGACAGTTATTCCTTAAATAACATTTTTATTCATTTATTTGATACATGTTGTATGAATTTTGCCAGCATCTTCAGATGGTGAAATGTCAAGCAAAAAGTGCATTCCAAGCCCTCAAGAAGTTGTGTCAAGCCCTAGTCGTGAAGGCATTCCAGATCTAAAGAGTAGAAATGGACCTATATGTATGGTTTTATTGATGAAAATATGCCATGCCCCAGTGACAAAGGTGAACCAGTTTCTAAAAATGGAGATGAAGCTTGACCCTGGAAAGAAAGCATGTCTGTCTCTAATGATAGAGATGTGACTTTATCCAGGGACTGAGATCTGCCAGTTCTAAATGAAGGAGATTTGCCAGGTGCTGATATTACTGATATCCTACATGTGGGTCCCATCTGCTCAAGGTTCCAATAGTGAAAAATCTTGGTTAGGAATGAAGTGTCATCAGGTATTGCTTCTATCAAGAATCTTCTTTCTTTAGAATTAATAAGATTAAAGCTTAAATTATTAGGGCCCGCAAGGATTTGCGGGTGCCCTGTAGTAATCACTCTGTCTGTCCGTCTGTCTTCTTCTGTCCACAAATTTTCTGTTTTTTCCTAATAACTTTTTTTATGGTAGCCCAATTAAGTTCACATAGGAAAATTTTTTAAAAATCTTCTTCTCAAGAACCACTGGGCTGGGAAAGATGAAACTCATGTGAAATTATCCTCAGGTAGTGTCGATTCAAGTTTGTTCAAATCATGACCCCCGGGATAGGGTGGGGCCAAAATGGCCGATCAAAGTTATATATAGGAATATATAGGTAAAATATTTAAAAATTTCTTTTCAAGAACCACGGGGCCAGGAAAGATGAAACTCGTATGAAATCATCCTCAGGTAGTGTCAATTCAAGTTTGTTTAAATTATGACCCCGGGGGTAGGGTAGGGCCAAAATGGCTGATCAAAGTTTTACATAGGACTAGATAGGGAAATCTTTCAAAGTCGTCTTCTCAAGTACTTCAAAGCCATGATTAGTGATATTTATGTTGAAACATCCTTAGGTAGTGTAGAATTAAATTTGTTCAAACCATTATAACGCCTAAGGATAGGGTTGGGCCACAATGGTGAATCAAAGTTTTACATAGAAAAATAAAGAAATAAATCCCAAGAATAGAAAAGCTATGTTTAGTCATATTGACATGTAAGCATCCTCATGTATTAAGGATTTAAATTTATTCAAATCATGGCCCTTTGGGGCAAGAAGGGAAACAATGGGGAATCAAATTCAAATTATTATGAAGTTATATATAGGAAGAAAATGTTTTTAAAAAATCTTTTTATCAAGAACAGTAAAGTCATATGCTGTGTTTATATGAAGGCATTGTCAAGTAGTATTAATTCAAGCCCCCCTCCCCACTTTTCAGTAAACTTTTCCTGATCTGATTTGTGCTTTTTTCCTAGCCGATTTGCTCAGGTGAGCGATGTTGCCCCTGGGCCTCTTGTTTGAATTACTGGGATCAAAGCTGTTGATTATTGCTCAAAAGTTTATCATATACTTACACATTTTATTCTGGTTGAAATGTTTGTAATTTTACAATTAAGTTGCAATTTTTTCAGAGGCACTAAAGGAAACTGATGGCATTGTTTTTGAGAATAAGAGTGAGGAGGAGATAGATGACAGTCAAGACAATCAGGATGTCCATATTGTCACTCCAGGTACTGTATACACACTGCATTACCCATTTTAAGCAATAAGTTTCTTAACTTGAAATTATATGCAGAAACCCAGCATGGCCAGCCAGTCTACATGCATGGAAAATTTTCTAAAGACTTGATATTGAGTATTACCAGTAGAGCTTCAGTCTAAAATGCAAACAGGTGGTTCTATTCAAGGATAGCCAGAGTATAGTTCAGACAGAAGTTATTTGCATTGATTGAACTACTGTAGATCACTAAATTTTTGCGACACCTTATTTTCGCGAGAAAGTCATTGACTCTTGATTAGCGAGACAAAATTTTCGCGAATTGTGGTTATTGCTCTATATAATCTTAAGGAATACTATTATACGCGAGAATTAAATTTTCGCGAGCACACTGTCTCGCGTAAGTACACGAAAATAAAGTTCTCGCGAATAAAAAGTGATTTACAGTATACCAATTTCAGTCATAACATTTCACAAATATGTCTTCTGAATGTAGATGGAGGAGCTAGCTGAGATTAAATTCCTAATCAACAAAATATTTTACTGGATGTGAATTTATATAGCAAAGCTTTCAAGTACACAGACCATACAAATAAAGAAAGTACCTATGTATCACAAATATACTTATTGGCTAGTAAACAATCATTCTCCTGCCAGATTATATTTCAGATGAAAAAAATTGCTTTAACTCTTATAGCTATTTTTATTATTATTATTTTTTTTTGTACAGACCATACCACCAACCAAGGAAAATTATATTTTGAAAATATCATTTTAGGGAAGAAGAAGTCATTTCTGATCCTAGATCTACTTTGGAAGATTCTACATGCAAGTGACAAGAGATACAAAAAAATCCCAAGGACATCACGAGAAATGAATTTAATCAACAGACATTGCGGAAAAAATTTTATAAAAAATTGTAATAGGACCTTAGAGAAGTGTAAAACACCAAGGATATAATCTTGTTAAAAAACAGAGAAAATCAATATTAACATTCTACTTTCAATTGATATGCTTTGAGAAATATGATAAACACTGTGTTTTAAAGCCACAGTAATGGAGGACATTGAATTCTTTGCAGCAGTTTTATCATTAGGCCATTTCAATTTTTTTCTGTTTTTAGTGTCTGTGGATGGATTGGTTTTGAGGTCATGCAATCAAGAACAAACACAAAATGAAATTGACAAATACAAATCTTTGACAAGCAATTTACTCTTCTGGGATCAGCATCTCTCTTTTTTGAAAGTGATGTGCTCAAGTTTTTTTTTTTTTTTTTTTTTTTTTTTTTTTGTTTCATTAAACTAGTAGTAGTAGTAGTTTAATTTAGCTATAATATGAGGAAAATTCTCAAAGAACTTTGCGTAAAATGTTGTTTTTTCCCCTTTTGTTTTGTAATTTTTTTTTGGAAGGAAAGAAATGTTTTGAAATTTAGGTTGGATGCTAAACAAAGAAAAAAACTTGGAATGGCCTCATATAACCTACATGGACTAAACTGGCATAAATGAAGAGTGCTTAAGAAGCTGTGCATGATGTATGTAGGAAATGATTTTGAAGTATTAAATATTTTATGCAAAAGGAAATTTTCTCAATTTAGTTAATTTTTGCAAAAAAATATTGCTGTACTTTTCTTATGTGAATTGAATATAAAGAGTTGGGTTTGATGCATAAATAGTCCTGTTCTTATACTAGTTCTTTGAGAATCACCCCCTGTCCCATTTCTAACATCAAAATAAAGTATGGAGTATTTCTCATTTCCTTTAACAAAGATTTTTTATAGAGTCCTGAGATTGGAAGTTAAACAAGATTTCAAATTTCTTGAAATATTAAAAATGCAAAGGAAGGAATTTTCAGGATATGGGAGAATTCAAATGGGACATTGAGACTTGGTCAGTTAATTGGTATATATATGGAGGGCCATTTTATGGATAAAGTGAACCTAGCTCTTTTCACCATTTCAATAGATTACACAGTCACCAAGTATCAAAATGATAAACTGATGCATTGGTTACCAAAACTGAGTACTTTTGATTTCTCACAATTCACAGGGCCAAAAAAAGCTTTCAGTGAATCTTGCTCTTTATTACATTTATGTCTGTAAACTTTTACCATGTGCAAACATCCTTTGTTTCTAGAAATGCCATTATCTTCTGTAAGTCCCCAAACTTTAACATGTGTATAAGGTCCTCAGTCTCTATAAATACCTGTATATCATGTGTAAGTCCCCTAACTTTTAACATGTGTATAAGGTCCTCAGTCTCTATAAATACCTGTATATCATGTGTAAGTCCCCTAACTTTTAACATGTTTATAAGGTCCTCAGTCTCTATAAATACCTATATCATGTGTAAGTCCCCAAACTTTTAACATGTGTATAAGGTCCTCAGTTTCTATAAATACCTGTATCATGTGTAAGTCCCCAAACTTTTAACATGTATATAAGGTCCTCAGTCTCTATAAATACCTGTATCATGTGTAAGTCCCCTAACTTTTAACATGTTTATAAGGTCCTCAGTTTCTATAAATGCCTGCATCATGTGTAAGTCCCCAAACTTTTAACATGTGTATAAGGTCCTCAGTTTCTATAAATACCTGTATCATGTGTAAGTCCCCAAACTTTTAACATGTGTATAAGGTCCTCAGTCTCTATAAATACCTGTATCATGTGTAAGTCCCCTAACTTTTAACATGTTTATAAGGCCCTCAGTTTCTATAAATGCCTGCATCATGTGTAAGTCCCCAAACTTTTAACATGTGTATAAGGTCCTCAGTTTCTATAAATACCTGCATCATGTGTAAGTCCCCAAACTTTTAACATGTGTATAAGGTCCTCAGTCTCTATAAATGCCTGCATCATGTGTAAGTCCCCAAACTTTTAACATGTATATAAGGTCCTCAGTCTCTATAAATACCTATGTCATGTGTAAGTCCCCTAACTTTTAACATGTGTATAAGGTCCTCAGTCTCTATAAATACCTGTATCATGTGTAAGTCCCCAAACTTTTAACATGTATATAAGGTCCTCAGTCTCTATAAATACCTATGTCATGTGTAAGTCCCCAAACTTTTAACATGTGTATAAGGTCCTCAGTTTCTATAAATACCTGTATCATGTGTAAGTCCCCAAACTTTTAACATGTATATAAGGTCCTCAGTCTCTCTAAATACCTATGTCATGTGTAAGTCCCCTAACTTTTAACATGTGTATAAGGTCCTCAGTTTCTATAAATACCTGTATCATGTGTAAGTCCCCTAACTTTTAACATGTGTATAAGGTCCTCAGTCTCTATAAATACCTATATCATGTGTAAGTCCCCTAACTTTTAACATGTGTATAAGGTCCTCAGTCTCTATAAATACCTGTATCATGTGTAAGTCCCCTAACTTTTAACATGTGTATAAGGTCCTCAGTCTCTATAAATGTTCTTATCTTATTCAAGTCCCCAAACATTAGGTATGTGTATAAGGTCTCAGTTTCTATAAATATATGTATAAAGTCTTCAGTTTCTTTTATTAGCCTTATCATGTATAAGTCCCTTAAACTTTTATCGTGTGTACGAGATCCTCAATTTCTTTTTATATCTTAATCTTAAGTAAGTCCCTAATTTCTATATATATATATCTTGATCTTGTCCCTAAAGTTTTGCCATGTGTGTAAGATCCTCAGTTTCTTAATTTTCAAACTGTGCAAGTCCAAAAATTTTAACCGTATGTACAAGGTCTTCAAAAAACCCTTTTCTTGTTTGTTGGTACATGTTGTTTAATGTCCCTGCAAATTTTGTCCTATATTTGGCACGTACGGACATGGAGAAGTGAGGGATCTTTTCCGTGCAAACATCTGCTGCATCAAGGGAACTGGTTTCATCCGAAGGATCGGTATCCACGTGCCACAGTTGTATTCGAACCTGTGACGTAAGGATCAATTAACCCCAATTAATTGCAAATCTAGAGCAGACGCTCTAACCACTGCGCCATGCAGGCGAGACACCTTTGTCTTGTGTAAGTCCTAGCTTAAATCATACCATAATGAATATAATCTTTTAAAATAATAAAAACATAATGTAATGCGATATTACATGTAGTTAATAAAAGTGTCCTTTTATAACATGCATACATGTATTTCTTATCAAATAAGTTCAAGAGCTCTTGTATTTTAAAGGCTGATACAGAGCAGTATCGGTAACAGCTACAGTAACTTTATTTCCGACGCTCAATGATAAACAGGCACACTCAATAATAAACAGGCACATATCATAGGGGTGGGGGTTGGGGGGTTGGCCACCCCCTTTTTTTTCCAGACATTTTTTTAACTATATAAATTGTTTATTGAAAGCCCCCCTCCACCACACACTTTTGGAATAGGATTACTGAGTATATATTTGGACAATTTTTTTCGGGTAAGTTGAATTTTTAAAAATTATTTCTGGGGCTGTACTCCCCTTTTTTCAACATAGATGCCCCCTTCCATTTCTGCTTGTCAAGGAATATTTGCTTGGTATTGCCCCCCTCCCTGAAAATATTTGTGCAGCCCCCATCCCCCCAAACAAACGCACACTAAAATTGCTTCCTACCAGTCAGATTGTGGTTCTCGTAATGGCTTAGCAAAGTAAAAAAAGGGAAATTTTAGCTCACCTTTACGATGAGAGCATGTATATCGTCGGCGTCATACAGGTTAAAGATTAAGGGTCCATGATTTAATGTTTTTTCATTTTAATATTTATTTAATAATTATAGCAACGTTAACGAGAAATTTTAAAAGCTACATACATGTATTTGTTTACAGTTTTACTATTTCAGCACGATACTTTGAGAGAGGACTTGTAATACTTTGTGTATTATTTTGAAAGACATCATCGGGAATAATTGTCCTTTTTGTCCATGTGTCACTAAAATCACAAACACAAAAAAGGTCTGAAATGCTCTAAGTATTTTTTGTTTTTCGCTTAAACTCACAATATTTATCGTGAGATTTTGGGCTATAATATTCTAATTTTAAATTTTGCTCCAGATTGCAAAACAAAATAAATTACTTTTCTGTATAATCTATCTAAAAATGGATAAGGATACAATGTTTATAAGGATAAGGTTTATAAGGATAAGGTTTATAATTAAAGAGTTATGTTATATTAATAAAATATATATTGTATTATGTAGGTCGTGGCCGCAATCGCCAAATCAAAAATAAATGATTTTAAGAAGTTATATTTGTCTTCATCGTCTTTAATAATTAATTACTTTTTTGTATAATCTATCTAAAAATGTGCAAATTTGAGCAGGCGATTTTAATTCAGAATAAAACTTTGAGGATAGCAGTAGGTTATTGCTTTAATACTAGAACGATCTTGTACCGCCTAGTGTGCATATTACAAAAAAAGAATATTGCTTATATTTTTTGGTGAAGTGAATAGGTTAATTAATAAACGAGAAATACTTATCAAAATCTTTTGGTTATTTTAAAGTTAAATCCATATTCAAAATGAATACGTCATCGAACAGGTTCGATGATTTGGTACATAATGGAAAACATTTTTACATTCTCTCTTTAATTTTGTTTAAAACGTACGATTTTTAAGTTTCACTGTCGAAATTTCAAAGAAGGATCAGAATATTTCTTTTTTTTTTAAATCAAATTTATTTATCAAGCAATCATGAATAGTTTTCAGTGTCAAACACGGATAATTTAAAGTTAAAACTACTTTCATTTTTGGTGCCAAAATAAAGTAAATACTGATTCTCAAGAGTTTCTCCAGGAACCTCGAGCGATATATCCTAGCTCGCCACTTTTGCTCTCCACTCAAACGCGAATTCCGGTTGGACTGATGTACAACTATAGTCGAGAAAATAAATATTAATCATTACTACGTGAACAATATGAATAAATCGTCAAAACCCCAAAATAATCGCTCCACCAAAAAAAACCCCTATATGTTATAAGAGAGATGTATACTGGAGTATTTTTTTTGTGGAGCGATAATTTTGGGGTTTTGGAAATTTATTCATATTATACACGTCCATGTACATGTCTAATAAGCTACGGGGTTTAATATCGGGGGGGGGGGGGTCCTGTCCACAAATTCCTGTGCTTCTGCCTTCTACTGGTAAACGACAGCTATATTTATGATATTTTAAAAGTTATTTTATAAATGAGAGATAAGTAACTAAATGTAATTTTCAGATCCAATGTTTTGCTTAAAGAATCTATTTAAATCGCTGGACAAGATTTTATTTATGTTATAATTGCTTTATGATGGAGATTATTCTTTATTTAGAGTTCATATTGACACACTGTTTGTTCCAAACATATTCTAGCATACAGTATAGGGGGAGGGAAACTGGTCCCTCAGTTTTTTTCAAAACATACATCTAACTTTTACTATAAAAATGATCCTTGAAAGGTTTCTTGTTCTACCTCTGTTACAGCAAAGTTCTAAGCAAGGCTATTACTGAGTATTTTGAAAAAAATCTGCCGTGAACCTACCTCTCACGTCCCAAAGGAATGGATGAAAAATGAATAATAGATTTTCAACAAAACATGGGGTGATGTTGAGAAGTAGAACCATGCCTATTTTTCACTGGCTTGATC